GTTTTGGGGTCATTTTAGGACTTTTGGGGCATTTTGGGATATCTTGGGGGGATTTCTGGGATATTTTAAGGATATTTTTGGGGTGATTTTCAGATTATTTTGGGATATTTCAGGAAAATTTTTGGGGTGATTTTGGGGTTGTTTTGGGATATTTCTGGGATATTTTTGGGGCACTTGTTCATACTTTTGGGATATTTTTGGGGCCATTTTGGGATATTTTGTGGTGATTTTGGAATATTTTTGGGATTTTTGGGATAATTTGGGTTAAAAATGGGAAAATTGGGATAARCAATGGCCCCTCCCGCCAATCAGAAAAGGGGGCGGGGCTTCAGTGGAATGATGTCATAACGCCGCGACCAAATGACGTCACCAGGTTGGGGTGGGGGAGGGGCGCCCCCGATTTTATTGGCGCCATTTTGGAGTCCCYGACCGCCCCTCCCCCACCCCCTCCGTGACGTCATCGAGGTCCCCAAATGTCTTCAAAGTCGCCAAAATCCAAAATTTTGGGCTTTTTCCCCAAATTTGGGGTCCTCGATGTCCTTGGGGTGTCCTCGATGTCCCCAAATCCCATTTTGGGATCCCAAAAATCCCAAATTTCGGACGTTTTCAGCCAAATTTGGGGTCCTTGATGGTCCTTGAAGGGTCCTCGATGTCCCCGATGTCCCAAAAATCCCAAATTTTGGGGTTTTCCACTGATTTTGGGGTCTTCAATGTCCTTGAGGTATCCTCGATGTCCCAAAAGTCCCAAAATCCAAGATTTGGGTTTTTTTCCCCAAATTTGGGGTCCTCGATGTCCTCGATGTCTTCGATGCCCCAATCCCATTTTGGGGTCCCAAAAATCCCAAATTTTGCATTTTTTCAGCCAAATTCGGGGTCCTCGATGTCCTTGGGGTGTCTCCAAATATCCTGGGAGTGTCCAAAATCCCAAATTTTGGGGTTTTTTCCCCAAATTTGGGGTTCTCTATGTCCTTGAGGTATCCTCGATGTCCCCAATTCCCATTTCCCCCATTTTTTCTCATATTTTCTTCAACTTTTCGCCGATTTTTTCCATTTTTTTCCCATTTTTTCCC